TCCTGAGCCTCGTCTCAAGTCTCAACAGACCCAACTCCTTCAGCCCTTCCTCATGTGCTCTAGACCTTTGATGAGTCTCATTGGACATGTGTCCTAGACCTTCCATGAGCCTCATGGGACATGTGTCCTAGACCTTTGATGAGCTCATTGGACATGTGTCCTAGACCTCTGAGGAGCCTCACTGGACATGTGTCCTAGCCCTCTGAGGAGCCTCATTGGACATGTGTCCTAGACCTGCCATGACCTCATTGCCTTTCTCTGGACTTGCTCAGCCCTTCGTAGTCATAGAACCATCAAGGTTGGAGTAGACCTCCAAGATCATCAAGTCTAACCCTTGACATTTCATTGCTGTGACCCCCAAACCCTAACCAGATCCTCCAGTGCCACATCAGACACCTCTCCAGCCACTCCTGCCCCAGCCTGGAGCTGCTCAAGGCTGTGGTGGCCCAAGGGTAGGACCAACACTCACCGTCTCCCCTCTGTCTCCTTGTTTTCCGGTGGGACCAACAGGGCCAGGAGCTCCAGGAGCTCCAGGAGCACCAGGAGCTCCCACAGGACCGGTTTCACCACGGTCACCCTGTGCGAAGGTAAGGGGATGGAGTCAGAGCTGGGTTTGGGCTGGATGGGAGGACACATGGAGAGATGGGAGGAGAAATGGAGACATGGATAGGGAATGGTGGGAGGAGACATGGATAGGGAATGATGGGAGGACACATGGACACATGGATAGGGAATGGTAGGAGGAGGAGACATGGACACATGGATAGGGAGTGGTGGGAGGAGGCATGGAGACATGGATAGGGAATTATGGGAGGAGACAGGGATAGGGAGTGGTGGGAGGACACATGGACACAGGGATAGGGAATTATGGGAGGAGACAGGGAGGACACATGGATAGGGAGTGATGGAAGGACACAGGGATAGGGAGTGGTGGGAGGACACATGGACACAGGGATAGGGAATTATGGGAGGAGACAGGGAGGACACATGGATAGGGAGTGATGGAAGGACACAGGGATAGGGAGTGGTGGGAGGACACATGGACAGGGAGGACACATGGATAGGGAGTGATGGGAGGAGACATGGACACATGGATAGGGAATGGTGGGAGGACACACGGACAGGGAGCACAGAGGGAAGAGCACTGGGAGCTCACCTTGACTCCAGCTGCTCCATCCCTACCTGGAGGTCCATCAGAGCCAGGATTACCCTGGGAAAAGAGAAGGAATTCAGTCTTGGATTTGGGATGGAACAGAGGACAAACTCCCCTTTGACAGCCCCACCAAGAGCTCAAAGCTGCTGCTGCTACTGGGACCAGTCCCATCAGAGTTTTCCCAGTGGGATCAGAAGAAATCCAGCACTGCCTTGGCATTCCATGTGGAGGGATCCATCCTGGTGTCACGGTCCTGCTTTTCCCTGTCCCCACCCACCAAGGACTGAACTTACCTCACGTCCAGGTTCTCCAGCAGGACCTGTTAGCCCAGGAGGTCCCACAGGACCAGGAGGTCCTCGGTCACCTGCAGATCCAGGAGCTCCTTGTTTGCCTGGTTCACCCTGAAGGAAGAGAAGACAAAACCCAAGACAGGTAAGATCCCAACTCATCCCTGGAAATCACCTCTTTGAGGCCCAAACCACCTTGAGAAGCAGCTCTAGGAGCTCTTGAGGTGCCAATGTCCCTGCAGGAGGAACACGGAGTGACTCACTGATGGTCCTGGTAGTCCAGGGAATCCTCTCTCTCCACGTTGTCCAGGCAAACCCACAATGCCACGTTGTCCTGCCAAACCTTGTGGCCCTGGAGGACCATCAGGACCCTGGGGAGAGGCAGAGGAGGATGCTCAGAGCTCGTGGGAGGTGGTGGAATGAGAATGGAAGGAGGATGAGGAGATGTCTTCCCGAACTCACCGCGGGTCCATCTTCTCCAGGTTCTCCTTTCTCTCCCGGAGGACCTGCAGGTCCCTGTAGTCCAGGATCTCCAGCACGGCCTGGAGGACCAGCATCTCCTCGAGCACCCTTGGGACCATCCTTGCCAGCAGAGCCAGGTGGGCCAGGAGGACCTGGGTTGCCCTGGGAGGGGAGGAGAGAAGGTTGGTGCCACCTCCATCAGCCACATCCTGGCACTGCTGAAGGTTCTGGGATGGTTCCTGTGCTTGGAGAGCTCTGGGAAAACCTCTTTGGATGAGTTGTTGAGCTGTGTGGGGTCACCCAAGAGAGGTTTGGCTTGGGGAGCTCCAACATTCAGTCTCTGGTTGGGGGAAGCATCTCCAGAGCTTCCAAACCCTGGTCCCAGTGGTCCCAGTTGCTTCCAAGTGCTTCTGGTTGCCCTGGAGTGATCCTGGCTGCTCCCAAGTTTTTTTCCTGTTGCCCCTGGGTGGTCCCAACTACTCTCAAGTGATCCATGTTGCCCCTGGGTGGTTCCAATTGCTCCTGGGTGATCTCCATTGTCTCTGGGTGATCCCAACTGCTCCCGAGTGATTCCTGGTTGCCCCCAAGGAATCCTGGTTAACTCCAAGTGGTGTCAGCTAATCCCAAGGGATCCCTGTTGCCCCTGGGTGATCCCAACTGTTCCTGAGTGATCCCTGGTTGCTCCCAAGTGATCCTGGTTGATTCCAAGTGATGTCAGCTGATCCCAAGTGATCCCTGTTGCCCCTGGGTGATCCCAACTGTTCCTGAGTGATCCCTGGTTGCTCCCAAGTGATCCTGGTTGATTCCAAGTGATGTCAGCTGATCCCAAGTGATCCCTGTTGCCCCTGGGTGATCCCAACTGTTCCTGAGTGATCCCTGGTTGCTCCCAAGTGATCCTGGTTGATTCCAAGTGATGTCAGCTGATCCCAAGTGATCCCTGTTGCCCCTGGGTGATCCCAACTGCTTCTGACTGATCCCCGGTTACCCCCAGGTGATTCCTGGTTGCTCCTGAGTGATCCCAGCTGCTCCCAACTCACATTAGGGCCGGGGGGTCCGACACGTCCAGCAGCTCCAGGGAATCCAGTGGCTCCCTGGGGAAGGAGAGAGGAAAGTCAGCTCAGATGTTGCTCCCAGAGGCCCCCAACC